ACAACTACAAAAAAATAGCCAGGCGTTGTGGCAGGCAACTGTAGCCCCAGCTACTTGGGAGGCTGAGGCAAGAGAATCGCTTAAGCCCAAGAGTTTGAGGTGGCTGTGAGCTGTGACGCCACAGTACTCTATTGAGGGCAACATAGTGAGACTCTGTCTCAAAAAAAAAAAATCTTTTTTATATGCTTAAAACAACCTTTTTTTCCCAGAGCTTGCAACTATAAATGTGGCCTAAAGCACCCTCTTTCCAGAAACAATCACTGTTGCTATTTGGGTAAATTTAAAAGAAAGCTTTTAAAGAATTTTATAGAATTTGAGTAATTTAAAAAGAGAGAAGTCTGGGCTTCAAAACAAGTTCCCCAGCTGTATGTTCAAATCTTCTCCAGGTGACTTTGATGTGCATCCTGGTTGGAGGATCATGGTTGGAGGACCTCTAGCCTTTTGGATACTTCTATTTGAATGTCCTACTAACCCCTGGAACTTCCATGGAAATGGATTCCATCTCTTAACCTAAAAATCTGCTTCTCCTCCTATACTCCCTATCTTTTTCTGACTGGAACCTCCTTGCTACCTAAGTTAGATGTCTTGGAGTCCTCTTTCCCAATTTTCTTTTCCTCACATTCTACATTTAATTGATTGCTGGCACTTGTTACCTAACGTGTATCAGGGATTCCAGCTGGTTTATAATTAGATTCTAATGGTAGGTGTATAGGGCTAGTGTTGCTTCACAAATTTGTGTGTCATCCTTGCGCGGGGCCATGCTAATCTCTATATCATTCCAATTTTAGTACATGTGCTGCTGAAGCAAGCACAGGGCTAGTGTTTTCTTTCTCACCTTATCTCTGTAACCTCTCATTGTTCTGAAGGGCTTATTTCCACGAACACTGAGGACAGTGACGGGGTAAAGCATGAACTCTCTCCATGTTTGTAGTTGATATAGAACTGCCAGATGGAGAGTCGGGTTGCAGGCAGGAAGAAAGCACACATAGAGAGAATTCATTCCAAGCATGAAACTTATCTCACATGGACCTTCAGACTCAGCCAAAGGGACTGAGGGTCAGAGTGGTGCCAAGTTCAAGGCAGTAGTTGATACTTGAACCCATTCAGGTCCAGCGATCCTGGTAGGAGGCTGTGAAGTCTGGCGGGATTCAGCTTCCACAGATGTCTTCCCCATCGACTGCCTATGTTAGGGCTTCATGTTTCTCACATAGATGACTGTGCCAGCCACCTTACCTGGAGCTTATCTTCTCTCTTAATCCAATTTCCAATCCGTTTTATACATGGGTGCCAGATCAACTCGCTCTGGCACAAACTAGATTAGGCCCATTTTCTTCTTAAAATCTCAGTGGCTCCCCATTTTCTTTGGAAAGATGTCCGATCTCCTATGTTGGTTTGGAAGATTTTTCCTGATTTGACTTTAATATTCTGCACAGACCTTTCATTCACCCTTCCTGCCTGGCACCTTATACTCTCGTCACCCTTCACTATTGGCAGTTTTATGATCTGTGCATTTTGCTTTTGGGCATTTCAACATCATCTTTATCTGTAGACAATTAAGGGAGTTACTTAAATATTTGACACAAATTCATCTTGACACAAGTTCATCTCATATCTGCATGAGGATTATACCCTCTTAAAAATTGTCCTTTAGCAAGAGAAAGCACAAATTCTTTCTTCTCATTCACAGCCATGCCTTGTCTTGGAAATGTGCTTTTACAATTTGTGGTATCTCCAGATTCAATTATTTAATTATAAGAATCCACTTTGAATAGTTTTTTGTGGGGAGTTTAAGCACTGTGTTTTCTGCTCAGTTGAGGCACAGCTTCTTTTTAAAATTTTCAACTGCTCACAGCCTTTTAACAAACTAGAAGTCAGGTAGAAATTTCTATCGTCTTTCTAGATATGTTAGGATTGTCCACTAGATGTCGCCCTAACATCTTAGGATCCATAGGAAACAAAAGAGGTAGCCTTTCTTTTATAAGCAGGTTATTTTCAACAGTGCATATATTAGCTGGTGATTTTCTTGTTTTCCTTGAGACCGGGTCTCGCTTAGTCACCCAGGCTGGAGTGAGGGGCACTAATCATAGCTCACAGCAGCCTCGAACTCCTGGGCTCAAGCAATCCTCCTGCCTTAGCTTTCCTAGTAGCTGAGACTGTAAGTACATGCACCTATACCTGGCTGATTGTTTATTATTTATTTATTGTAGAAATAACCGTCTATGTTCCTCAGGCCTATCTCAAACTCGTAACCTCAAGTGATCATTCCACCTCGACCAGCCAGAGTGCTGGGATTACAACCATGGGCCACCACACTCAGCCTAAAACTAGTGATCTTTTAAGTCTCAAATAGGGGCTGGGGCAGGATAATGAAGATAAAACTCAGGTCCTTGTATTTCTCCATATTCCTGTTTTCCTGAAACGGCATTTTTCTGGGTAACACTTAACATTTTCTCTGACTCCTCAGTTATGATATAGTTTTTTAAAGTACACTCTTAATTAAATCTGCGATTTCATTCACAAAAATAATCTAAAATATGTGGTCATTTTCTGGATCTTATAAGGTTCCTCTTAATTCTAGAGTAGTGTCTATTCCAAGGTCATCCGTGGCGATAGCCTTTGACAGTGCCATCTCACAAATAGTAACGTGTGTTTTGCTTTCATTAGTCTGTTATTTTCTTTTCTTTTTTTTTTTTTTTTTTGAGACAGAGCCTCAAGCTGTCCCCCTGGGTAGAGTGCTGTGGCATGACAGCTCACAGCAACCTCCAACTCCTGGGCTCAAACGAGTCTCCTGTCTCCGCCTCCCAAGTAGCTGGGACCACAGGCGCCCGCCACAACGCCCGGCTATTTTTTTTTTTTTTTTGGTTGCAGCCGTCATTGTTGTTTGGCGGGTCCGGGCTGGGGATTCGAACCTGCCACCTTAGGTGTACGTGGCTGGCACCTTAGCCGGTTGAGCTATAGGCGCCAAACCTAGTCTGTTATTTTCAAGAATATTTTCTACTGTCAAAAATTAGCAGTAGCCTTTTACTCTCCTCCAATTTTAGCTTCTTTCAAGCATTCACTATTGTGAGTTTTAATTAAGAGGAGCGGTGTGTGTGTGTACACACCCTCTCTAATGACAAACTAGGCCTGCCCTTCCTTATCAGAGCCTTTTTACTCTCTTCCAAATATTGTACTTTTGATATTTTAATTTTTTACATGAATTTCCTGGCTTTTCAAGGCAGGTGAGGAGAAAATAATTTGCTTATTCATGTTAATTCGTTAAGAGAGAGGAAGGAAATGTGGGCAGAGAAGCAACATGTATGTACCATCTGCCATCTGTCAGATAGCTTCTACCTGCATACATGGTAGTTAGTCTTCTTAGGTTCTGAGATTTGCCTAAATTGATAGAAAACCCCATCTCATGCACAGTGAAAAAACAATCGGAGAATTCTTGATGGTGGAAAGAGTGATAGGTGGCTAATATTTCTTTCTTTCTGCTTTAAAAAATGGGTATGTAGAAATACTGCACATATTTAACATATATACAATGTGATAAGCTTGACCCTAAGTGTACACCTGTGAAGTCAGCACTGCAATCAAATAATAAACAGATCTATCACCTCTGCAAGTTTCCTTCTGCCTCTTGGTTCTGCTTTGGTGACGGTGGTGGGGTAACACTAACACAAAGTCCTTAATACAGTTTTAAGTGCACAATACAGTTAACTCTATGTACTGTGATATACAGCAGATCTCTAGAACTTATTCATCCTGCATAACTGAAACTTTTATTGAAACACAACTCCCAATCACCCCTTCTTCCAGCCCCTGAGAACTACCATTCTACTCTTTGCTTTTTCTGTGACTATTGTAGAAAACTCATGTAAGTGGAAACACACAGTCTTTGCCCTTCTGTGACTGGCTGATTTCACTTAGCACAATGTTCTCCAGCTTCATCCGTGGAGACTGTAAGTACATGCACCTATACCTGGCTGATTGTTTATTATTTATTTATTGTAGAAATAACCGTCTATGTTCCTCAGGCCTATCTCAAACTCGTAACCTCAAGTGATCATTCCACCTCGACCAGCCAGAGTGCTGGGATTACAACCATGGGCCACCACACTCAGCCTAAAACTAGTGATCTTTTAAGTCTCAAATAGGGGCTGGGGCAGGATAATGAAGATAAAACTCAGGTCCTTGTATTTCTCCATATTCCTGTTTTCCTGAAACGGCATTTTTCTGGGTAACACTTAACATTTTCTCTGACTCCTCAGTTATGATATAGTTTTTTAAAGTACACTCTTAATTAAATCTGCGATTTCATTCACAAAAATAATCTAAAATATGTGGTCATTTTCTGGATCTTATAAGGTTCCTCTTAATTCTAGAGTAGTGTCTATTCCAAGGTCATCCGTGGCGATAGCCTTTGACAGTGCCATCTCACAAATAGTAACGTGTGTTTTGCTTTCATTAGTCTGTTATTTTCTTTTCTTTTTTCTTTTTTTTTTTTT